TTATTCAGTAGGTGGCGTACCAAATACACGTTTTCACCGTGCTATTTTCAGTTAACTTTCCATCCCGAGTCCCACTCCATGTGGAAGCCGTCTGCATTGTTTTTACAGCTACGTCGCCCTACATTGGGTGCACGTTCTGTGGTTTATTTAACCATAATCCTACTGATGGAGGTTTGGGTCTTTCCAGGGTTCTGCGATTTCAGGTGATGCAGCAACGAGTAACCTTGTGTTTCTCGTGTTTTCTGTGTATGGAGGTATGTTTTAGGGCAGATTGCTGGCAGTGGGATTATAGGATAAAAGGCTTCCGTGGTGTTGATAGACGGCACCGCCTCCTCTCTGTTAGCCTGAGATCTTTTGGCCTCCTCCGCAAATAGGTTGTTACATTCTGATTGATGTGAGATAGATCTTAGTGAAGTTTTAATGTGCATTTCTCTTGTAATGAGTGAAGTTGAGCATCTTTTGTCTTTGTCTGCAAACTTCTATTCATATCTTTTTCCATTTCTCTATCAGATTTTTCATCTATTTTGTCCTCTGTTTTGGGAACTGTATTAGGAAGCTTAGCTGTTGCCTGTGATATACATTGCAAATATGCTTCCTACTTTGTTGTTTGTCTTTTTGCTTTGCTTAGGATGGGTTTTGCTATGTAAAGGTGTTACTTTCGTGTAGTCTGATGTGTCAGTCTTTTATTGCTTCTAGATTCTTGAGTCACAGATGCAAAGGCTTTCTCTTCCCCCGGCTCAGCAAGAGATGCATGCATGGTTTCTCCTAGGATTTACCGGTTTCATTTTTTACGTTTAGATTTCTGATCTCTGTGTAGTTTATCCTGCTGTGTGAGGGCAGACTTGGATCAGTTTTATCTTTTTCCAAATGTCTATCCAGTTGACCCAGTACTATTTATTAAAACGTTTGTCTTTTTCCCCAGTGACTTGAGATCCGCCCTTATCAGATAGCAAACTTCTTTGTATTACTTGGGTGTCATTCTGGATTTTCTGGCTTGTCCCACTAGACTAGAGGTTGGCAAATGGATTTCTGTTAAGGGCCGGATCGTAGATATTTTGGACTTTCTGGGTTCACATACGATCTCTCTGTAATCATTTTCTTCTTTTTTTGACTTTTGTTTTTCACAACCCTTAGAAAATGTAAAAGCCATTCTTAGCTCTCAGCTGGGTTGGCCTGTGGGCTGTAGTTCACCAGACTCTTCATGAGACTGTCTGTCTACACACGAAGGTCACGCTCTTTGATCAGAGGTGTTATGCTATTCTTTTTTGCACCGTTCTCCAGACATTCTTGCTGGTTTAGTTTTCTATGTGAACTTGTTAGGGTCTATCTGGGGTTCTGGAGAAGTTCATAGATGAACGAGAGGGGAACTGCCCTTGAAGGACAGGAGGGGACCTGCCCAGGAACAGGGATGTCTTCCCATCTGCTCATTTCTGCTTCCCTGTCTTCTGAAGGCACATAAATGTACCTTAAATAGGCTTCGCTATTTTCTTGTTTTTTAATCAGTTAGATTTTGCATTTCCCTTTATTATTACCCCCCTTCTGCTTTCTTTTTGGTGTTCTCTATTGTTATTTTCCTAATTTGTTTGAGTTGCTTAATTCATTTATTTTAATTCTTTTGTTCTTGTTGATATAAAGTATTGAAGGCTATGAATTTTCCTTTGATTATTGCTTTATGTTTTGGTGATTCTGATAAGTAGTATTTTCACTATTATTATTCTAAAAAATCTGTTTTGATCGTGTTTTCCATTTGACACCGAATTATTTAAGAATAAGTGAATTGTTTTGAAAAATTTTTTCCAATTTCTAGTTTGTTGGATTGTGATCAGAGAATATCATTTGTAATATTTCTACTTTAAGGAGCGTATTTAGGTTTTCTTTGTGGTGAAATAGACAGTAAATTTTTATTAATGTTCCAAATATACTTGAAAAGATATATTCTCTGTTATTGGGGTACCATGTTGTATGTGTATGCATACACTCTGCCTTATGGATTAGCTGGTCTGGGCTTCTGTATCCTTACTTATTTATGGTCCACTTGACCTGCCTTGAAAGGAAAGCGGTTGTTTGGTCTCCACTGTCATTGTGTTTTCATCTGTTTCTTCTTACATCTCTGGATTTCTGCTTTGTTATTTGGTGCATAGATACTCCAAGCTGTTACGCATTCATCACGCGTTGTAGACTGTAGTGTTATAAAGTGTTTGTCATCAGAGGAGTCGTGGCTACCTTCACGGAGCAGGAGGTGTTTGTCATGAAGGAGGGGTGGAGATTGAGAAGAGGGGTGGAGGAGGACCGTCCAGCTGGAGGCAGAGCATCTGCCAGACCTGGCCGTGGCGGTGGGGCAGGACTGAGGTGCAGCAGGGACCCCAGCTGGGCTGGGCGGTGTCTGTGAAGGGGTGAGGGAGGTAAGCTGGGGAGCCTGGGCAGACCCTGTGGGGTGGTACCACTACCCCCAGGAGTCAGTGGTCAGCGCCACTGCAGGTTTTTGAGTGGGATGGAGACGACGCAGGATTCCTTTTGTGGACGCTTTGGCAGTGCCATGGGATGGATTGTGGGGGGCCTGGACCTCAGGGAAGGCCACCGAGGAGTCAGTTGTCTTAGCCAGACAGGAGCAAAGGGGTCCGAGCCTACAGTGGGGAGGAATTGGGAGGGTCCAGCATGAGGGGCCTTGGACTGTGCCCAGACCAGGATGGCCCCCGTGTGCGACACTCAGCACACTGTCAGCTCTGGGCTCAAAGTGTCCCCCCGAGACTGTGAGCTCCATCAGGGCAGGGACCCTGTCCATACTGTTCTGCCACACGACCCCACACAGGGCCCGGAACATTTGCCGCGTGTGAATTAATGGTCGTATTGAGGGGACCCGGCAGCTGACGGGATGTGGTGGTGATGGAGCCCAGCCAGGGCGTTGGGAGGACGCGGTGCTGGGCGGCACTCTGGGGTGACTCAAGGGGGAGCTGGCTGGGGAGGAAGACGCGGGGTCCAGCTGGGACCTACTGCATTCAGGCGCGAGTGCAAGTCTGGGTGGAGGCTCTGTGGGGCTGGAGGTGTTGGGGGTGAGTGTGCAGGGTGCCCAGGGAAGGGTGTTTGCGGGTGTCATTTGGGGGTCGCCCCACACGGTCACGTCCGTGTGCACCTGGAGCCGGCGGTCTGACCCACATCAGAGGCCGGTGCCGCCGCTGCCCCTTCCTTGCAGCCCAGCGGGACCCAGCAGGCGGGCGCTGCCGTCGGTGCTGCGAGCTTGACCGTCCTCATTCCCTGGTCCTCATTCCAGTCTCACTGCGCCTGGGTGAGCCGGCCTCAGGGTGGGTGTCGGGACACTGATCAGGTGCCGCAGGCCGCTTACTTCTCAGACCTGGCCGTTGGGGGCCGGGGTGGCGTGTGACCTTGGCCGAGCCCTGTGACTTGGGACACTGGGGCCTGGCCTGCCGTGTGCAGCGTCACCCAGCCCCTCCCGTGGTCTCTGTGCTGCTGCTGCCTGCCCCTCCATCCTGGAGGGCGCTTCTGTCAGCGCTCCAGCCATGGCGGGAGCCAGGACCCCACCGGTCCTTGCTCTGTATCCCCTGGGCCCACCGGGGGCCCTCCCCCCGCGCCCCGAGCTGGGTCCCGTCTGGACCTGCTTCACTGCTCCTGCCGACCGCACTGTCCTGGCCTTGAGGACAGCGGAGAGGGTGCCGTGTGGGCACCCACGGGGCGAGGGTCTCAGCCTGCCCGGGGCCGCTTGGGCTGCCGAGCAAACGTCCGCCTTTCTCCCTGGGGTTAGCGTTCTGCTCAGTGGGGCCACGTAAATACTGTTATGTTATTGACGGAAAGGGCGGAAATGTTGTTCTCAGTGTGTTTCCCCTGCATTGCTGTCCCTGCACTTTAACTAATGGTGACTTCAATGGCATCTTTGCCAATTTAGGATTAATGGTGATGCCACTCCGCAAAGGTGAAGGCGGGGGCCGCAGTCCGGCTCCTGTCTCGTAGTGATAAGCCTGGCACCAGGAGCGACCTTGGAGAGGCCTGTGCTTCTGTGGGGCTCCTGGGCGCGTTGGGGGCGGGAGGCATCGGGGTGACCTAGGCACCGTGTGCTGAGCTCCGTCTCAGTTTGAGCTCTCCATGCGCCTGTGTGTGAATACCCCGGTTTCTAAAAAATTTTATTGGAGTAGAGTTGAGTTACAATGTTGTGTTAATTTCTGCTGTACAGCAAAGTGATTCAGTTGTACATATATACATTCTTTTTCATTTTCTTTTCCATTACGGTTTGTCACAGGATATTGACTATAGTTCCCTGTGCTATACACTAGGACCTTGTTGTTTATCTATTCTGTATATAACAGATTGCATCTGCTAACCCCAAACTCCCACTCTGTCCCTCTCCCACCCTCCTCCCCCTTGACAACCACAAAGTCTGTTCTCTGTGTCTGTGAGCCTGTTTCTGTTTTGAAGATAAGTTCACTGGTGTCATATTTTAGATTCCACATATGAGTGATATCATATGATATTTGTCTTTCTCTGTCTGACTTACTTCACTTAGTATGATCATCTCTAGGTCCATCCGTGTTGCTGCAAATGGCATCATTTCATTCTCTTTTTATGGCTGAGTAATATTCCACTGTGTATATGTACCGCATCTTCTTTATCTGGTGACCACCTGGTTTTGACAGAAGATGTAGACAGCATTTCTCCCTAAATCCTGTGCGCCCAGAGTCATACTCCCTGGCCGGCCCGTCGGGGCATCTGTCCTTATCCAGCATAGACTGTTTCACTAGGACTTGGTAAAAACCGTCAGTCTTATTTGGGGAGGAGCTTATTGTATACATTGGAAAGAAATGTAGTCTTCTGAACACCACTCTTCATGTTGTTAATTTAGATATTTTATGTTTTGATTAATGTATTTATTAAGCTGTAACTCTGACAGAAGCAGAAATTAGTCATCATGACCAGAGCAGAAACTCCTCCAAGTGTAAAGGTGATAAATGATTCCAATTACTTCTGGGCGCATTTGGGGCCTCTTTGCACAGGGTCTCCGGGCTTCCAGCTGAAGTACCTGGTGGGCCCTGGATTCCTGAGACCCGGGGAGCAGCGCTGGTTCGCCCGCTACCTGGCCATGCAGACCCTGCAGATCGACATCTGGGACGGAGACTCCCTGCTTCTCATCGGATCCGCCGCCGTTCAGATGAAGGTAACGTTTCCCCACGGTCCTTTCTGTGGGGTCTGTCGCCCGGCAGTGTGGGCCATCGCCCAGCACTGGGCATTGTCCAGGGGCCTGGCTTCTTGGTTCACAAATTCAAGACACTGCCGAGTCCTCTCCTTCCCCAAAGGAAAGGATGTTCACAGAGTCTAAGCTCGATCATGCTAGGGTACATCCGCCCAGTTATCAGTTCCTCCTGTGAACCCACCAGGCGACGTCACCTCTGCTCCCTTGACGGTGAGGATGGATGTTTCCTGAGAGCAGCTCGGGATCAGGCTTGTTCACCAAGAGCCTGGCTGGTCCATCAGAGGTGTGCCCTCAGGACGGAGGACAGGATGAATGAATGATGGGGTGGGAAAATGTTTCCTGATGCCTGTTCTCAGTTCCCTGAATTGTGCTTCTCTCATTCTAACTAGAATAGAAGCTAATTCATTTTCTAACTGTGCTTCCCATTCTCCTCATATTCTAAAACTGAAGTCCATGCATTAATTCAATTTTCTTCCCAGGGTTTCTCCCCAAACCTTCCCTTTCGTGTGACCAGGACCCCAGAGGGTCAACGTGGGGTCACATGGCGGCCTCTGGGCCAGGCACTGGGCCACATCCACTTGCCGACATGCTGTCCCGAGCGTTTTCCTCCCTGCCTTGAGGTGGACGGGGGAGAGCTGCAGCTCTGGAATCTCTGGAATCTCTCTGACTTCATTCACTTTTCCTTCATCCCACACAGCTATTGCCCTCTGGACTCCAGCCACGGGCCCCCTTGGTTTCCCTTCCTGAGCCTTGCACGGCTGGTCACTGAGGCCTGCAGATCTGGTCCCGTCCCCCCTTGCCCCTCAGCACCCCAGCCCACGAGGATCTCGTGGCTCCTGTGCCGCAGCGGCCCCGGTCCCGTGCCCCCCATCCTCTGGGGGCCGTCTGCTCCTCTGTCCCTCCCTTCCTCTGGCGGCTGACCCGGGCTGTAACTGTCCCATCCACCGGGGCCCGGGGCCCTTCCCTGAGGGGCTGAGGCCCTCAGGACAGTGGAGGGAGCCGGGGGGCAGTGTGCAAAGAGCTATGGGGCGGGGTCACAGCTGGTGAGGACTCAGCAGGCGTCGGCTGGTGTTCTCATTCCTCAGGCCTCCCAAGGTCGTCACGGAAATGGCCCGTCTGTCTCCTACACTGGCCAGTGATGTCATGGAGGGTGGGAATGGGATGGCCACTGACCCCTCCCCAGCACAGTCCTAGGCCACCGTGGGTAGGGCATGGCTGAGAATGGATGAATAGAAGGAGGGAGGGAGGGGTGAGGTGAAAGGCAGGAGGGGCGGGGCGGGGCGAGGCGAGGGGAGGGAGGGGCGAGCGAAGCGCGTGGAGGGGTTATTTGATCTCATCCTCCACGAAGAGCCCCTTCGACAAGTGCTGTCAGGTTTACTGACACAGAATTGGTTTAAATAAAATGGAATTTTACTTTCTAAAAATAAGCAAGTCTTCACTTTAACATCTATGTAGAAAAGGTGGAAGATTTGTGTAAGTCCAGGTCCTGAGCTGTCAAGGTGCTTACGTGGCCTTCTGTGGATATTTCCTGCGTGTCCAGACGCATCACAGCTCGTCGCACTGTCCCCCGATGTTGGACATTTAAGCACCTTGTCCTGGTGGACACACTGCAGGGAACATCCTGGGGTCATGTTGGCTCACCCCTGCAGCGCATTTCCTGAGCGGTGACAGCGCCAGCATCGTTGGGGTCTCGCGGTGGTCGCTGCCGGGGCCTGGTTGCACCCCCGCTCTGCTGCGGTGTCCTCAGCCCGGCCCTGGGGCTGCTGCCCTGATCCCCGTGTGCAGTGATGAAGCCGAAGCCCCGGTCATGCCGGGACCAGGCTTTCAGCCCAGGTCTGACTCCATCATCTTCTCCCCAGATGAGAACGCCCCAAAGCCACGTTACCAAGTCACGGGTGCACCAATACGGAGCCTCGGGCAGGGGGCCCAGGGGCCCGGCACAGCGCTCTTCCCGGAAGATGAGCAAGGCGCCTGCTTTCCCACCCTTTACAGGGCGGGGAAAAAAACCTCTGCAGTTTCCTGGGTGAGACGCGATGCCCTGTTTTTATTGGCATCACTGCTCCTGGGGCAGCCGGGCGTCGCTCCTTGCCTTGACTGGCCACCCCCTGGAGGGGTCTTCACCCCGTCTGGCTGCCGAGGCTCCTGGCTCGTGAACGTGTTGGCGTTATGTGGACAAGCGCTGCTGCGCAAGCGGGGTCTCCGGAGCTGGAAGCCCCAGACCCGCTCGGGAGGGATCTGGTCTGGGCGTGTCCGCCCCGGAGACAGGCAGAGGACAAGCGCTGGAGGGACAGGGCCAGAATTCCAGAAGCAGGACCTGAACCTGGCCCCGCGCTTCCATTTACGTGTGACGGTCAAGAGGCCTGGTGACGTGCCCGGGCCTCGCAGGAGAAGGGGCCCAGCCCTCCCTCCCGGCCGGCCCCACTCGCTCTTGGGCTCAGGAGGGTTCTGAAGGGTTAAACTTGATTAGCAGAGAAGAGTGGGGTCGGAAAGGACCCTCTTGACCCAGCTCCGTCTGCCCCGTGGCCCCTCCTCGCACCTGCTGCCCACCTTTCTGCCACACTGAAGCCCCCTGTGTCCCGCCCGGGCCTGGCGTGCCCTCCCCCTGCCTGGAGGCACACCTTCATCCTGAGGGGCCCAGTGGAGGCTCCTCGGGGCTCCCGCCGACGCGGAGCTGGGCTTCCTCAGCATCCCCCCTCGTTCTGTGCCGTGTTCTCATCTTCTCCGTGTAGAGGGGCTCCATGCAGGTGGCTGCCAGGCCCACTTGTGCATCCCTGGGGTTCGCTCAGTGGGTGAATTGGGATGCACTTTGTTAATAAGGATTTGGGGGAAAGACCCGACAGCAGGGACCTGGGTTTTCGGAAGCAGATAGCCCCTGCCTCGGCCGCCCTCCGACCGGTCCTTTCTCCTCCGCAGCACCTCCTCCGCCAAGGGCGCCCAGCCGTTCAGGTCTCGCATGAGCTTGAGGTCGTGGCGACAGAGCACGAACAGGACACCATGGTGGTGAGTGGAGACGTGACCAGGTTTGGCTGCGTCAAGCCCATCAACGTCCACACGATGGTGAAGGGCCGGCTGCACCTGACCTTGGCTAATGTGGGTAAGAGTCCCTGGCAGCTTTGCCCTTGTTCCTGGGTGGCTACTCTTCCTCCCATTTGGGGCACGAGCCCCCTCAGGACAGTGGTCACATCGTGGGCATCAGCACTCAGTAGGAATTCAGAAGAGCTCTCATTAGCTGACTACTAAGTATGCCCTTGACCGCTGAGCGTCTGCCCTTGACCGCTGAGCGTCTGCCCTTGACCGCTGAGCGTCTGCCCTTGACCACTGAGCATCTGTTCTTGACCTCTGAGCCTTCCCCTGACCACTGAGCCTTCCCCTGACCTCTGAGCCTTCCCTGGCGCCAGTTGTTTGGTGTTCCTGATTTCTGGTCGGGGTTTGGTATTATTAGCTGTCTCCGTCTTGCCCACATTTTATTTCTGGTACTATCCATGGGGCATCGCTGTGACGATCCTCAAATAAGATGACTGGTTTCGGGAGAGAGTTTCATCTGGAGTTTCAGCTCATAGCACTGCCTCATTGTGGAGGAGAGAAGAGAGAACTTTTCCTAAACATCCGCAGCACACAGCTTGGGAACAGAGGGGCAGAGGGACGTGCTTGTTCAGAGCCGAGCACCTTGACCTTACGTCAGATGGTGTCCCAAGAGCTGCTCGTCAGAGACACCGAGGAAAGCCCCAGTCCTCCTTCCATGTGGGCAGGGGGCTGGGGCTGGGTGTGGCTGGGATGGTTCTGCCTGGACATTCTGGGGGCTCCACTGAGGACCCTGATGGGACAGGGGACGTTAGGCCGGGCATACCTGCCTGTGCCCACCTCAGGGCAGAGGCCAGTGTGAGCCCTCGTGGGGCTAGTGACAAGCCCACTCGATCCCCCTCAAGGGGACTGAGGAAGGATTGAAAGCAGGACAACACCAAGCCATCTGAGGTTTCTGGACTCAAACCTCTCTGTCGTTTTACTGGGGAATTTTCCATTCCTTACAGCCCAGCCTGATTTTAGACCTTGAGCCCCATGGGCCCTTTCCACCTGTGCCGACAGCATGGGGCGGGCGGGGCTGGGACAGAACAGCAGGTGTGAGCGCGGAGCTCATTAAGCCAGGTCTGAGGCTTCTGCTCCCTTGTTTACAAATGTAGGATCCCGGGCAGCCTGGAAAACAGACAATATGGAAACGGCAAAACTCAATTAGGTTCTGGAGAAATAAATGAGCTGTGTGTGAGAAGCAGGCATTATTCAAAAGCTCCTACGACTGAGGGGAGTTGCTAGAAGCATTCTGCTTCCAAGATTGTGTTGGTTATTTTTATTTTTAATTCACCAGCCCACAAATGTGCAGTGACTCCAGGTTTTAAAATCTTATCTTCAGAAGAAAGATTAGCTCCATTATGCGTTATCTTAAATTGTCATTTTCATACGTTGCCTGCAAGAGAGAGATAAGCTCGCGGGAAGGGGCCTGAGATACCCAGACAGGGAGGCTGTGAGGCAGAGGACCGGTGCTGCGCGCAGCGCACTTGTACGACGTGGCAGCACTGTGCTTTCCTCTGTACGTTCTGCAGTTCTTGAACAAAAAAAAAGTGTCGTGGCTTTTGTTTCTTTTTAAAACTGGTTGTTCTGCAGCGAGTGGCAGGCGCGGGCCAGCAGGTGGGGTGATGCTGTGCAGGCCTTCAGGGTGACAGAGGCAGGGTCGGCGCCTGCCCGGATGGGGCCCCGCCTCTGCATTCACAGCTGTGGCCAAGTGCGAGGCCGCGGATCCCGGCGTCTGTCACCCACGCCCAGGTCTCCTGTGACTCTTTCTGTGGGAGAGGGCGGGCGGTCCTCGTGCTCAGCGGCTCCTCGGCTCAGGCGAGCTTATATTTTATTTTTATTGCTGTACGTGGGCCTCTCACTGCTGTGGCCTCTCCTGCTGCAGAGCACAGGCCCCGGATGCACAGGCTCAGCGGCCATGGCTCACGGGCCCAGCCGCTCCGCGGCATGTGGGATCTTCCCGGACCGGGGCACGATCCCGTGTCCCCTGCATCGGCAGGCGGACTCTCAACCACTGCGCCACCAGGGCAGCCCTCAGGGAGCTTTTTGATGCTGTCTTTTTGCCAGCCTCTTCTGAGGCTTTACGGGGTCATTCATCGTTTAGAGATCCCAAGAGCCCCTTTCCTTTCTTTGACCCCGTGATCCTGGCTGTGTGTGTGACCACGGCTCCCCTGGGAGCTCCGCTGCCACTGTATCTGCAGGTCTCCCGTGGGGCCTTCCTGGGGAGGGCAGGCTGCCCTGACCCCCGGCTCACGGTCAGGTACCGGGGCTCTCAGGGTGTCTCCCCCGGGCGAGTTTGGGCACAGACGTTTGCAGAAGGGCACAAAGGCCTTGGAACAGCATGACACTCGAGGGCCTGACAGGAGAGCCTGCGACCATCCCAGAGCCTGGGGCCGGGCCCCCCGGAGACCTGCCCTGAGCATCTCGAGCCCTGACTCGTGGTGGGAAAGCAGACTGCTGCTCAGACAGAGGAGAGTGTGGACCTGGAGAGCAGGGAGCTCGAAGGAAACGTGCCTCTGCCCACCTGCCATTTCTCTGCTGCAAAACGAACTCCAACCTGAGAGTGGAAAGTGGGGTGTGGGCGGGGATCTGGGCGAGTGTCATCGACTCTGTGCTGGTATTTATGTCTCGTGCGGGGCGGGGGGTGTTTTTCGTTCAGGTCACTTGTGTGAACGGAGAGTGGGGAGTCCCAGCTCACTGCCACCTTCCAGGTCACGGGTCATCTCGAATGACGGAGCCACCGGCTTCTCGGGAGGTGGCCTTCTCACGCCCGGGGCTCCCAGACGTGAGTGGAGAGACCGAGGGGCCTACGGGTGGAGGCTGGGGGTTGTGCTTGGGGAGGTGGGCGGGCGGTGGGGCAGAGCGAGAGGTGGGGGGCTGCGTGTGCGTGCGTGTACGTGTGTGTGTGTGCAGGAGCACACGTGTGCGCCTGTGTCGTGGGGCCCTGCCCTCTGGATCTGGGGGCCCGAGCCGTGGCTCCGCCTCCGGCTCAGTGACCTGCAGGCCACATCGAGTCACCACGTTCGTCAGCCCAGCGCTCTCTAGGCTGGGCCCTGGGGGAGCCGCCGGTGTTACTTGGTGGAGATTACAGTCCTAGGAGTGGCATTTGTTTTTGGGTAGCTGCTTCTCCCCAGTTGAAGGGGACGGGAGGAAAAGGTCGGGATGAACATAGGCTGTTTTTTAAAAACTAATTTGAAACTCCCCATGTTGGGGAGAAGAGAAGCTTGGGAGATAAACACTTGGGCTTGTGAAAATATCGCATAACACGGAAGTTTTTCCGTCCCCTTTCAAATGACCCCCCAGACCTGAATGTAAAATACTTGCCATTGGAATGAAAGTGGGAGGCGCCCTTTGAGGAGCAGCCCCCAGAGGCTGCAGGTCACCTCATGTGCATTGGAAACTGCCATGAGCGTCTTGTGTTGACGGCCCTTGACTTTGTTGGGCTTGAACCTGTGCCCTGGGTGGGAATTCCAGAGCTGCGGGGGGCAGGACTGGGAGGCCTTTGGTGCCATTTTGGAAGGTCTCCAGCATCCCACGAGTCCCCTGAAACTCCAGCCCAAACTTTATGGGTCCTCGTACGTCTTCCCTGGGAGAGCGGCCCGGGTACATTCAGATGCTCAAAGGGGTCCACGCTGCGTGAGCCCGGCAGGCTGAGAGTCTGTTCCGGACCAGCTTCCTCATTTTAATGTTGAAAAAACTGAGACACAGAGGTCAGGTGACATGGCCGGTTGTGTGGTTAAGGGTCGTGAACTTGGATTAGAATCTGGATTTCCTGCTTTGGGGCCAGTGCCTCCCCATCCCCAGCTGGTCCCTTTGGCCACCAAGAGGATAGATGGAGAGCACGGAGCAGAGAGTGCCTCCCATCTCCACCCCCACCCCCCACCCAGGGACAGGTACGAGAGGATTTGTGAAACCCACGGCCTGGGGCCTGGCAGGTCAGGGGCTCCTCTGGGCAGCGCGGGGAGTTGTGACAGTGAGGGTTTGCTGAGGGATCCAGAGCCTCTGGAGTCATCAGTCTTCCAGTCCCTATTTTGGTCAAAACCAGAGGGCCGGGCACTCCACCAGAAGCCATGTCTCCACCCCCCCGGGCAAGGTTCCGGAAGCGGGAAGTTGTGCCGAGTTTCGCAAGATGCTTCCTGGCTTCAGCAGTGTGGTCCCACACGGTCCCATCACCCCCACGGTCGGGGTGATGCAGTCTGAACACACAAGCCAGTTGATCACCCCCCAGCCTTGCTCGTCTCCCACCCTGGCCCCTCCCCTCGGGACCGGGGGCCTCGGGTTGCTTGAGCCCGATCCAGGTTGGAGCTCCCGTTCCCATGGAGCTGGACCCCAGACACACGAAAAGTGCTGTTTTGGGGTGGCCACTTGAGACGTCTGCACCATCTCATGGCACCCGAAGAACCTGGAAGTAGCATTTGTTTACGTGTGATGGCAGGAGAGGTGGCGAGTGAGGAGAAGCTGCTTCACCACCACGTGGAGCACGTCAGCAGGAGGCAGAGATACTTGAGGACGGGGAGTGGGGTCCAGCCGGCGGAGTTCAGGCTCGCGGTCACTTCCCGTGGCTCTGGGGGTGCCTGAAGGAAGGACAAGGTGCTAAGTTGGGGCGCTCCCTCTCACCTGCCGCCTGTGCTGGGTTTACTGATTGTCCGGGAATCTCACGTGCCAGCTTGTGACGTGGCAGGTGCCACGTGTGCATGCCAGTGGCACAGCCAGTGGTGGGAGGGAGAAAATAGCTCTCCTGCCTGCCGGGGCCTGGCCTGTCGTGGCTCTGTCTGTCGGCTACACAGCTTTCCTGTGGGTCTAGGCTTCGAGTAGAGCCCCCGAAGGAGATGGTGCTCTAGGGGCCCAGCCAGCCAGAGGCAGCCGGGTGCAGAGAGGAGAAGCTCTGGGCTCCACCCACCCCGGCTGGCCTGAGGCCTCAGGGCACAGCTCACTGGAGCCCCCGATTCCTGATCTGAGCTTGGGCCTCCTGATAACCCGTACCCAGCGGGGGTTTGAGGACCTGACAGGACAGCGCGCCTGAGAGCCTGGACGGTGTGCTGGGCATCGGGGGTGCTCGCTGGGGGGGGGCTGGAGGTGAGCAGGGGTGAGGTCCTGGGCGAGGGCGTCTGGGGCATCCTGAGAGCCTGAGCTTCTGCAACGCTGGCCTTTTCCCTAGCAGACCCCCTAGTGGGCACTAATACATTTGTATCTAAGCTCCGAGACAGAATCCCTTCTATGTGAGAGGCTGGTAAGGGAGGGATGCCGTGGAGGGCAGGGTGCGTCATTTCCACCTTTACCAGCCTCTGAGGGTTTATGAAAAGCTTGAGGCTTGGCTCTGGAGGGCGTGGAGCCGTGGCTGCTTAGAGAACATAAACTCTGACCTTTAACCTCTGGCCCTCCCTTTGAACCTTCCAGCAGTGAAAAATGTGGTCCAAGCGCAGAAGCTGGCCGACGTGGACAGTGAGCTGGCCGCCCTGCTCTTCACGCCCCCGTGGCAGGGGACGCGGCGGCCCCAGGGCGCCGGCCGTGAGGGGGACGCCGTGCGCAGGCGCAAGCTGGAGCGCATGAGGGCTGTGCGCCTGCGGGAGCGCGGAGCGGAGCCTGGCCGCTGCGGGCCGAGCGCGCTGGTGAGGCTCGCCCCCGTCCTCGGGAACACTGCGGGAGCAGCCCCGTCCCCGCCCCTCCCCTTGCCTGCGGGCTCTCATCTTCCTGCCGCGTCCTGGGTACAGAGCATGAGACCCGACCTCTCAGCCACCGAGGGAAGTTTTCAGGCCAGAATTACCGGCGCGCTTTGGATAAAAGCTGGCTCCTGGGCTCCCCTCCATTGGTTGGGGGAAGTGTCCTTGGAGCCTGGGCTTTTAAGAAAGCTCCGACGGGGATCCTGAGGGCGCCCAGGTTTGGGGAGCAGAGCCATGACACCTTCTACATCACGGGTTGTCAGAGTGATCGAGCTTGCCAGAATTCCCACCTTAGGCTAAAAATCTAAATAAGACCCTAAGAAAAGGCTGTTTGCGGGATAAGGAAGCCACAGGGGCCTTCGGATCCTTTCCATTGAGGCAGGTGGGTGTCTGAACAGACGCCGTCCTTCTCAGGGGCCAGGCCTGTGCCCATGGCCTGGCGGACACAGGCAGTGGCTGGCCCTCCCCTGAGGCTCACAGAGGTAGGCAAGGACCCACCCTCAGGGGGGCCGTGGAGGGAGGGAGACAGAAATAAACCAACAAGCAAAAGACCATTCAGGGGGCTCCCCTGGGGGCGCAGTGGTTGGGAGTCCACCTGCCGATGCAGGGGACGCGGGGTTCGTGCCCCGGTCCGGGAAGATCCCACGTGCCGCGGAGCGGCTGGGCCTGTGAGCCATGGCTGCTGAGGCCAGACAGTCGGCTGGGCGAGCGGGTCCCTGGCAGAGGGCAGCAGAGTCTTGCTGGCCGAGGAGCAGCGCTGTGGCTGTGAGGACTCCTTGAGGGGAGGCTGGCCGTGGGCTGGGCTTGGGGCAGGCCTCCTCCCCGGCCACGGTGCACCCAGGCTGCTCCCTCCTGTGCAGCCTCTGAGGCTCCGCCAGCTGTCAACCGGGGGGGACACAAGCGGTTCCCGCGTCCGGGTGGTTGGGCCCCGCACACGGCAAGTCCTCGGTCCGACAGCTGCTGGTGCATCGTTATTATGATTAATTTGGCTCGTTTCCTCTTATTTGATATGTTCTTTTTAATTTATTTATTTTTGTCTGCATTGGGTCTTCGTTGCTGCGTGTGGGCTTTCTCTAGTTGAAAGCAGGGGCTACTCTTCGTTGCGGTGCGCGGGCTTCTCATTGCGGTGGCTTCTCTTGTTGCAGAGCACGGGCTCTAGGCGTGCGGGCTTCAGTAGTTGTGGCACACGGGCTCAGTAATTGTGGCTCGCGGGCTCTAGAGCACAGCAGGCTCAGTAGTGTGGCACACGGGCTTAGTTGCTCTGCGGCATGTGGGATCTTCCCGGGCCAGGGATCGAACCCACGTCCCCTTCATTGGCGGGCAGATTCTTAACCACTGCGCCACCAGGGAAGCCCTGATATGTTCTAATAGAGAAATTAACAGCTCAGAACCGTCATTTTGAATACAGCTGTGAGCTTGGAAGTGATTGGATTTCCAAATACAAGAAAAATTTCCACTAAATTGTAATGATTTCCTGGGTTCGTAGCCCTGGAGAATTTTGAGGTGAAAGTAACTTGATGTATCAGATGTGCTGTAGTCTCTCTCCCTTCCAGAGCTTTTTAGCCTTCTTTGAAGAAGGGATGGGAGTTCTACGAAATCAGTGGGTCCTTGGGAAGAGAGTCGACAGGAGCCGTGCCCGCCTGGCCCTGCACACACGTGATGAGGGTGTGCAACCGTGTGTGACCTCTTGTGCGGCGGGGAGGCTGAGGGCAGCTGGGGTGCAGCTCTCTCTCCCTGATGGTCAGATTTGAGGGAGGCTGAGGGTCTTGGGGTTTCCTGGGGGCGGTGGTGAGCCTGGGGCCAGGAGCACAGAGTGTGGGGCTGACCCTGCTTTGGAGTCCCTGCGGCGCCCTGGGACAGTCACAGCACAGAGTGTGGGGCTGACCCTGCCTTGGAGTCCCTGCGGTGCCCTGGGACAGTCACAACACAGAGTGTGGGGCTGACCCTGCTTTGGAGTCCCTGCGGTGCCCTGGGACGGTCACAGCCTCCCTGTGAGGGTCACTTGCCTTAACCTGTGTGCAGTGCTCGAGACGGCGGCTGCCCTAGCGACAGCGGTCAGTCCCTGCGTCCTCTCTCCTCTGCGTACCCTCTACAGGGACACCCCAGCAGCTCCAGGATTGCCCCTCATGCTAGCAAATTGGTGGCACTAGTCCCACGTTCCGTGTTGTCAAAACATGCCAAGTACCATGGGAGAGAGGACTTTACTTTCCAGAAATGCCAGCACTTGGCCCACGGGTCTCCCTGCCCATCCCTGGACCTGTCATGGGACCACAGTGCGAATTGCTGCCTCTTGGGGTCTGAGCGGTCCAATACGTGTCATCGCCTCTGCCTGCATGGGTTTTGAATTAAGAAAGGAGACAGGTCTATGGCAAAAGGAGACCAAAACATCAGCTCTGTTTCACTGGTGGCTCTAGTCATCGGGGAGGCTGTTGCCGGAGGGTTGGCTCGCGTCTGTGCGAGGCTGAGCCTGCGGTTAACGGCAGCCTCACGCAGTCTGGGTCATGCCAGGTGACCCCACACGTGGATTCTTCTTTCCAGCCTTTCCACCTGGCCAGGGGCCGTGTGGGCACCTGATGCCCTGGGGCCACACTGGCTCGGCCTGTGGCTTTTACCCACCAGGCCTGCGGAAAACCAGGGAGTGGCTGTTACGGTGCCCGCCCGGGTGGTCAGTCTGACGGGCCAGTCCTGTGCCCACCTCCGTGTGGCCTGTCCCCTAGAGCCCTCGTCCCAGGGCAATACAGGTTGTGTCCTTGGCAGGTCAGAACAACCCGCTGTCTCAAGTCGAGGTTGAAGAGCCGAGCTCTGTCTGTTTCTCACCCTAAATTACATCTGGCCGTGCTGCCCAGCCCAGCCTGGTAGAGACTTCGTCCCGCCGAGAAGCTCTGATCATAAAATGCCCACATGTGGAGGCCTCAGATGTCAACATGACCACCCTCCCAGTTTTAAATCCCCAGGGAGAAACTAAAGGCCCGGCTTCAATTCCCCTGCTGGGGAAAGGCCAAAGTTTTGGATATTGGAAAGTCAGTCTCCAAAACAATTTAAGTGAGAGGTCAGATTTGGTCCTCACCTTCTGAGTTGGAGTCCGAAGGCCTTCAGATGCCTGGGCCTCGTTGGTTTTGGAGGCCCTCAGCGCCCAGCTGCCCCCCTAGCACGTGGGCATGTGCCTTCTAGGTCTCGGGCTTGCAAAGCAGCCTCCGACGGGCCTCGCTTTTTACTGCAAGGCACCCGAGAAAGATAAGCCTGTCCCCAGCCTCTAGAACACATGTGGGGTGGCCAAGCCCATTGAAACATAAGGCATTGGAAGAAGGAGGCGGATGAAGGACCCACGCTGAGCCCACCAAGGCAGCGTGCCTGGGTCTGGACCCTGGCCCAGCTTGCGGTCAGTCAGGCCCGGCCACAGCCCCTCCTGGGGACTCTGCTCGCAGACAGGACTCCCGCTGTCACACCGGAGGCCTGGCCGGTGAGCTGGTCACCCGCCTTAGTTTGGGGACCATTCTTTCCTCTTTTATTGGTAGCTTCTGCTCTTAATTCCCAGTGTGCCCAGGTGGGTGGTTGGAGTCTCGGGGGCATGCGGGCAGAGCCCTCCTTCCACGGGTGCATCATCTGTGGGCAGAGGGAAGCCGGGGTGCTGCAGACGGGCGGCCCCATTCCCCGTCCCCCAGAGCTGTAGGTGGCCATTCCCAACTGACCCCGTGTCGGTGGTGGGGGGGTGGTGATTCCAAGGAGATGTGGTGTTTGGGGCAGGTGGGGAAGGGGCCAGGGAACAGCCCCCAAGCAGCAGGGTGCCCCGGGACCGTGGCCTCACTTCGACCCCTGTGTCCGCAGGCCCAGCAGAGCATCCGTGCCCAGCACGCTCGGGACCTGCAGCTCATCGCCGCCTACCGGGAGCGCACCAAGGCCGAGAGCATTGCCAGCGCGCTGAGCATGGCCATCACCACGCGGCACACCATCCGTGCCACGCTGGGCGCCGCCGAGTTCTTTGAATTCGCTCTCAGGAACCCCAACAACACGCAGCACACCGTGACCATCTCGATCGACAGCACTGAGCTCAGGTGGGAGGGCGGGGCGCCCCCTCGGGCCCCCAGCCCCGCCCGAAAGCCGAGCTGGCTTCGCCCTCACAGGTCCTGGGACTGACTGGGAAGGACATTGTGCCCAGCGCCGTCTCCCCTCCCTCCAGCCTCATCCTGGACGGTCAGGAGTGGCGGTACTTCAAAGAGCTGTTCGGCCTGCACACGCCCCTGGAGGAGGACATGTTCCACCCGCGGGGCAGCCTGGCCCCCCAGCTCTTCCTACGCCCCCGGGAGATGGTCCACATCCCCTTCAAGTTCCAGACCTTCTCTGCGGGTCCGCGGGCCTCGGTGCAGGTGGGGAAGGCCATTCTTCCCGTGCCGAGGGGGCTGGCTGGGCACCGGGGAAGCCCCTTTGCCAAGTAATCTGGGAGATGGGGGCCTCCTCCCGTGTGGTGGGAGGGTTAGCCTTCGGCCGTCCCCCCCGCCCCCCACCTGTCTCTCCACACGTCCTGGCACCTATGCTGTGCCCAGTGGCCTCGTGGTTCACCTGGGCTCAGGAGAGGCTGGACCACCTCCTCTTCAGTCTCTGCTAAACTGGTAGAAGAGCCTTTCTTAAACCTCAGAAGAGCCAGTGTTTTCTGAACTCCCCAGTTACTACTGTTTGCCCACTTCTCACGTAGCGTTTGCTCCCCGACGTGAACCGCAGAGACTCTGGGGTTTCACGTCAGGGTGCGAGCGAGCACGTGCTTTGCTAGGGCGGACGCGGCGTGCGCGTTTCTTCCTGACCTTGTGAGGTCAGCTCTGTAGGGCAGAGGTCATTACTGAGACGGGCGTGAGAGGCTCACAGGTTTCAGTGCAGGCTCTTTGGATGCACTTTTGGGGCAAGAGGTCATCAGGACCGTGATGAAGGTGTCAGACCTCTGGCTTCGGGTGGAGCTGGGTTACGGGACCTGACCCCCCCCCGCCAGCTCACACGGCCTCCGCTTCCTCTTTGGGGCTGTGGGCCGGTTAATAACAGCAGCCGCCTGGGGTTCACTCTGAGCCTAAATGAGACCCCGGAGCCCTGGGCCCAGGGCGGCGGCCGTTCCTACAGGCGGAGGCCCCACTGGTAGGAAGACTTGCCTGTCACCCCGGGCCTCCATCTCATGGCCTGGGGGCTCCCTGGTTTCTCGCAGGCCTCTGCTGAGCTGAGACTCGAGAAGGACATGGACGCTGGGTCACCTCGTAAGTCCAGCACGATGCCCACGAAACACGCCAAGGTAGGGGGGCAGGCCGCCCATCCGACGTTCCCAGGTCTTGCAGTGCCAGCCAGGGCTCTTGTGAGAGCACCAGGTGAAGTGCATCATGGGTTCTGCTGTTTGTTACTAATGGTAAACAGGACTCAGTCCCATTGCCGCCTCAGGGCGGCTCGTTGGCAGGGCACACTTTTCAACCCCCTGCCTGCCCATGGGATGTCCTTAGGGGAGGTTGGGACACTGTCGTTTTGTAGGAATTTCTGAAGTTTTCTTCTTGTTGTTGTTTGTTTGGTAGACAGATGCCTTTTACAGGAGGTTGAAAGTAAAAACAGAAACACTTTTACGCCCGCCGCCCCCACCCTCACCCCGGGACAGATTTCGGTGCAGTTGCAGACTGAGGACCTGGCAGCCCTGTGTCCACAGCCCCGTCCTGGGGGAGATTGGCTGGGTTTTATTTAAATGTGGAGCCGCAGCGTTGCCTTTGTCTAAAGGATGTGTCGGCTCTTTATTTAGGGCCATAAATTAAATCTGAGAGGCTAGTACGTTTTTCCTTACATGAGTTTGGAGTTTTAAAACAAATCCCAGATATCTTATTCAGCGTGTATCTCTAACAGATAAGGACTTAAAAAAAAAGAACAAAAACCTGGCTAGTGACATCACTGCCCCCAAATTAGTAACAAATCCTCAGGACGGCCCGATGTCCAGTCCGTGCTGGTCACTCATCTTATCACGGTCGGTCTGTGGGAGTTGGGGCCTGCTGTCCTCAATGCTCTGTCTGTGGAGACGCTGGGCGTGGGCCGGCCTCCGTGGGCCGACCACGGCTTCACATGCAGAGGCCATGGTGGGTGGCTGTTCATGGTGGCTGACGTGTCCGCTAAGGGTCCACTGCCCACATCCGTTATCCCACCAGGTGGAAAGCGGTGAAATCCTCTCACTGTTCTTGTACTTACTAGCTGTGACTCTTCTATAAACAAGAGCTTTCCCCATCAGCCGTTTGGTTACCCTGAATATATTGATACTTAATACCGGAAGGTCAGGATAAATGTTGGGTTCTTTCCCTTTATTTATCAATTGTAAAAATAATGAGTCGTGCCCTGGGAACATCCAAAGATGGTCAGTTTTTTGGGGGTCTTATTATGAACTCGTGGTTTTATATTTGCTGTGTGGCAGGCACTGGGCTGTAAAACTGTCCTCTCTCTGGCCACGGCCATACCTTTCAAGTCAGCGCCTGTGTCTTTTTTTTTTAAACAGCTCTTTATTTTGAAATGTTCTCAAACTTAGACAAAAGTTAAAAGAATAGTGCAAAGAGTTCTCATGAATTATTTACCCAGATTTCCCAGTTGTTGACATTTTATATTTGCCTTATCATTCTGTGTCTATATTTATCCTTATTTTTTTCTGAACAATTTGAGAATAAGTTATGGACAAACTTCCCCATTGTTCCATGAAATTTAGAGCTCCTGTGTCCTGAAAATAAGGACACTCCGTTCCATAACCACGGTAGAACCGGGGAAATCAGGAAATTGGCACTGACACAATCTCATCACAGACCCCGCTTGCACTTTACCAAATATCCCAGCACTGGATCCCTCACCCGCCCAGGGTCCCGCGGTGCAGCCGGTGGTCCCGCCCTAGCTTTCCTTGCCTCTCATGGCCTCGGTCCTTTTGAAGTGCACAGGTCATTCTGCTACCTGCCGCTCAGTCTGGGTTTGTCTGGTGTTTGCTCGTCGGTGGGTTCAGGCCGTGCATTCAGGGCAGGAAAAGCACAGACGTTTTGCTGTGTTCTTCTCAGAACCTCTTAGTGGGAGAGACACAATGTTGATTTGCTCTATTACCAGTGATGTTAATTTAACTCTCTTACTTGGTTAAGATGGTGTCTGCCAGGCTCCTTCAAGGTAAAATTAATTAAGAAGTATTTTATAGTTGATAATTAGAAAGTAATGGGGAAGTATTTTGTCAGGAGATGCTCAGGCTCTGTAAATGTCCTGCTTCTCATTCAGCTTCTGCTACTAGTTTTAATATCCGCCGATGCTTCTTTCTTTTTTAAACCGAAGTGTAGTTGATTTACAATGTCGTGCCAGTCTCTGCTGTACAGCAAAGTGACCCAGTTATACACAGGGACATTCTTTTTAAAATTCCTTCACTGATGATTCTTGCACGATGGTTGCCCATTGGTGACTTGCAGATTTCGTCATTCCTTCCGTGTTCTAAGTGAGGCAGCACTTGGTCTTCATCCGTTCATTCCTGAAATTTGTTTGTCGGCATTATGGACCATGAATTCCTGTTTCATTCAGTGGCTTGTAGTTTGTTCCTGTCTGTCTTTGTTTTGCTGCTCATCTTGTCCCTGGTCCACCGGCGGCTTCGGCTTCAAGCTGGCCCCTCTGTCCTTTTGACACGTCCCTGTCATTCTTGGAGCACTTCCTTCGGGCCTGGCGCACAAGATGTTCCAGAGTCGTCTTCCATTTTCCTGCCGCATTTCTGGAATCAGCCGTTTATCTAAGGCTTCTTTTAGTGGAGAACGGTGTTTAGAAACTGAAGTCTGGGTACCGAGAGGGCTCATTACGACTGGGGTGCCCTTGCTTCCGGTCCTTCTGAGCAGAGAGAGCTGAGGAGTGTATGTCTGTGTGTGTGTCTGTGTGTGTCTGTGTGCACGACAGCTGAATAAATGGTCGGTCATTGTGGAGCTGAAGTCCCAGCGTAGCGGTGAAATTCCGGCAGGAGTGTCAGGGCACAGCTGCGGGGGATGAGGGTGCAGTGGCGGGGCTCGCCTCCCAGCAGATGTGGGAAGAGACGCGCGGGGCAGTGGCTTTCAGGTGATGGTCCAAGAAGGCAGAACCGACGCTGTGGGTCGCTTAAAGACCCAAAGAGGGGAGAATGGTGAAGAAAAACGGGGGGGGCCGGTGATCACGAGTTCAGGAGGGGCTCCCTGGGGCGGACGGGCAGGATGGTGAGGGTGCAGAGGCTGAGCAGTGTGCACCGTGTGCCTGTTCCAAGCCCACGTGGCCTCGTGGGTGGCTGCCCAGTTATAATTTGTCCTGTTACACATCTAAAAGATTTCATAATAAAACTCACCGAAGTGGAAGAGTGTCCTTTCCCACGTGGAAGGTTTGTCTGGGCGCCCGAGCTTGGCGCCAACCGACGTGGGAAGGGTGTTGGCTGTGTGCCGCCCTCTGTCCTGGGCCCTGAGAGCTCACTGGGCTGGCCGAGTCCTGGGATAAAGACACCGGCTGCATCGTGTTCCCAATTAGGACCTGTATTGGACAAATAAATTTTTTTAGTAAGTAACTTTTTTTTTAAAGGAAGTTTGTATTTCTGGCCCTTTGGGTTTAAGCACAGCCCCCTTTAACCGTCTGGGGGACATGCTCTGCTCCCACCCATGAGGACCTGGTGAGGTTAGTATCCAGATCCTTGCAGAATGACTTCCCAGCCTGCAGGCAGCGGGTGCGTCGGTGGGGGAGTTGGAGCCGCAGACCTTTCTCGCTGGTCTTCTTGGCACGATCCTCCCCTCCAGGAAGTGGCAGCCGTGCGTGGTCTGAGCATGTGGACCCTGTGTTGGGCCAGTCCTCGCAGGGGGGCACCTGCGGCTGCAGACCCTGTGCATCTGACCACGCCTGTCCTTCCCACTTCGTGGGTGTGAGCGGACCCCATGGGGACCCCGTCCCTGTCCGTCCAGGGAGGCGCCGTGCACGCAGCTGCCCACAGCCCTCGTGCGGGTCCTGATGCTGCGCCGCCTGCTCTCCTGGCAGGTTCTGTTCTGCGCAGCCAACGGCAAGCCCCTCGCCGTGCTCTGCCTGACCGTGGAGCTGCAGCCCCACGTGGTGGACCAGGTCTTCCGCTTCTACCACCCAGAGCTCACCTTCCTGAAGAAGGCCATCCGCCTGCTGCCCTGGCACACGCTTCCAGGCAGGTCCCGCTGTCCCCACGGCTTGCATTTGGCAGGTTCGACAGGTGGAAAAGGCGACAAGTGGTGTCCTTACCTCATCCTGCGATGCTCTTTCACAGCACAGGGTACAGCTGTGAATTCTGCCACTTGCCTCAGTCGTTTGATTGTTTGACATGGTGACCTTCTCACTTCCTCTGAGATGACAGGCGCCCTTGGCAGGCTGATTCCATTCTGAAATCCACAGCCCTGGGAAGGTTGCCTGGCCTCTGGCGTCAGGCTCTGCTCTGCCCTCCGTCCTGGGCCTGGAGAGCTCTCCGGGCTCCCCTGCACCTGCTGATTCATTGCCAGCCGGTGCCTTTAGAACACATCCGAGCCGTTTACACCTGGCACTGGCTCCATGGCACCCCCGCTTCCTTTTGGTTGGTCTCTTGGGGTGAGTCCCCGGGGAGGCGGCTCGGAACGGAAGGGCCAGTGTCCACGCAGGCAGCAGTGTCCATCCCCCAGCAGGTTTCGTGGAACACCTGTGATGGCCCAGGCTTTCGGGAAAAGACATTTGTTGTGATATTCCCCACTCCAGGTGCTCCTGCGGGGATGCCCGGTGAGGATCCCCCGGTCTACGTACGATGTAGTGACCCGAATGTCATTTGCGAGACCCAGAACATGGTAAGTTCTGTAGCGCCCTCCCGGGAAAACCCTTCCCCTCCAGGTCCCACCCACTATCTGCACCCCTGGTCTCCTGCAGCCTCTTCATTTGAGGTTTTTGCTTAAGTGGTTTCTTTCTAAGATGCTGAAGGGCTACCTTGACATCCTCAGGAGAGCTTTATGAATGAGTTTTCATTTCTTCTGCTAGCAGGTCACTTCCTTGATTGTCTGAATTTCAATTAAAAAAAAAAAGGCATGAAGCAAACTGAATAAAGTGAGTGGTGATTAAGGCACTTATTAATTGCCTTTGTGTAAGGATAACGGCCATAATCACGTTATGATTGGTTAGGAAACTGGGTGGAATCTCCTGCAGAATGTAATTATTAAACTCAATATGAAATCAAGAGGGTAATGACTTTTCTCTTTTGTAGTGACAAAAACAGTGAATTCTGATGAGTACAGAAAATGAAAACCGTGTTGGGGGAGGGGGCCTGGTTCACACCTGCGTTTGCTTCCTGCGGACTTGGGGGACTGGGGTCAGAGCAGAGAGGCAGTAGTGTGGCCGTGATGTGCACCCCCACCCCTGTCTGGCAGGGCCCCAGGGAGCCACAAGACGTGTTCCTGAAGGTGGCCAGTGGTCCCAGCCCGGAGATCAAAGACTTCTTTGTCACCATTTACGCGTGAGTACGTGGGCCCTGGTGGTCTGGAGGGTGGGAGAAGGCAGTGAGGAGGCAGGCTGGGGACTGCTGGTGGCACTGGAAGTGGGCCAGCCCTGGCTGCCTCTAAACTTGTGACGGGGGTGGGGGCCATCAGGCCTTTGGCCACATGAAGTGAGGTTCTCAGACTGGCCGGGGTCTTGCAAGGGTGCCTCTGCTCAGAGCGGCACCACAGCCTAAGGGACACATTGGGAGCCCAGCCAGGAGAGAAACTCGAGGCTGCTTCTGCCCCAGCACAGTGCCAGGACGGCCCAGGCAGCCCTCGTCCCTGGGGTCCCCTCCCCGAGTCCGAGGGAATGCAGGCGGCGGTCCTGCCCAGGCCCCCCAAGGGGAGGTGGAAGGTGACATCATTTCCTTTGATGCCCGAGAACTGGGTGAAATGACCCTGGTCCCTTTACCTTTTCCTCTAAGTCGTATCTCCCAGCCCTCGAGACCCTTTAAAACCGGTGCAGGCTGGAGGGTTTGGTGCAGCCTGCCGGGAACGGGTGGGTCTCCTGTGCTGAGTGTCCACCCGGCCGAGGGGCAGCACCCAGCCTGCACCTGCTGTGTGGTGGCCACAGACTGTTGTCCTGACGGCCCGTGGGCAGGTGATGCTGAGCCCCATTTACAGCCAAGGGTCAGTGTCCTTGGGCACCAGGCAGCTAATGTGGGCCCCAGGCTCAGGCCCACGTGACCTCCAAGCCCACGTTCTCATCCACGCTGTGCTGCCCATGGACTTTGCTCCAGGCCTGGTTTGGGATTAAGCTGGCCTAGGTGCACATCTGCAGAAGCCCACGTTGCCTGGCCTCCAGAGTATCTGTTCAGGGTCAAAGTCACGCAGAGGCTGCAGACCCGCCTGAGAGCTTCCACCTTGGAGGGAAGGTGGCCGAGCGGGTGACGGCGGCTGGACCCCAGCCCGCCCTCCTGGCCACCTTTTCAGCTTCCTCGGGGCTCCTCCCCGTGGTTGGTGTACTGCCCTCGCCCGACCGTGAGTGACTTCTGCCCGCACAGGGACCGCTGGCTGGCGACGCCCGTCCAGACTTGGCAGGTCCACCTCCACTCCCTGCAGCGCGTGGATGTCTCCTGTGTCACAGGCCAGCGGACCCGCCTGGCCCTTGTCCTCCGGGGGATGCAGACAGTTAGGAAAGTGAAGGCTTTCAGCTCCCACCCCCAGGAGCTGACGGTATGGCCTTCAGCGGGGGTGCGTGGGGTTGGCTCTTGGGTTTTGCGGGTGTCCCCTGGCCCCTCCCCACCCTTTCCCACCCCGGGGAGGGGGTGGGAGCTGGGCTGCGGCCTGGTGGTCGGTCCTGAAGACTTTGATAGAGTCTTCATTCAGATCCCCTTTATGAGATGTGCGTCGTGGGATGAGAGACACGTAAGCCCTGAAGGTGAATTTGTAGAATTGTTGGGAGGTAAATATTAACAGTTACTCTGGAATCAGTGTGGCTGCAACCGTACATCTGGATAACGAGGGTGACGTGGACGCCCTGCCAGCAGGCCGGGGTTCAGAGCTGGGTCTGGCTAAGCTCTCTCTCCTGAGGCCGCTCTGACACTTAGGGGGTCACACTGTGCACAGATGGGGACACAGACTGTGACCCGCAGGCATAGGTGCTGGTGGTGAGGTCCGGTCTGGCCTCAGATCAGGCCTTCTTACCTCTGACCCCATGCAGGCCAGGGGACCTCCCGCCCAGCGCAGGGGTTCCCCTGGGACCCTCTCAGCCCCTGGGCTGCGCGCCCAGGAAACCCCTCGTCTGCACGACTCGAGGGGCTGCCTCCTGACCTGCTTCTCCTCTGTTGTTCCTGAAGACGGACCCCAAAGGCGTCTTCGTGCTGCCCCCTCACGGGGTGCAGGACCTGCACGTGGGCGTGAGGCCCCGCAGGGCGGGCAGCCGCTTCGTGCACCTCAACCTGGTCGACGTGGACGCCCACCAGCTGGTGGCCTCGTGGCTCGTGTGCCTCTCCTGCCGCCCACCCCTCATCTCCAAGGTCTGACGTGAGACGCGCGTGGGCCACGCGGTTCGGGTGGTGTGTCCTGTGACCTGGCCTGCCCAGATCCGGGCCGACGTTTCCTCCTCCCGGCCCCTCTGGCTGGGGGCCTGGGGGGTGGGTGTTTCCACCTGTACCGTGAGCCCCTCAACCGGGAACTCGGGGGGCTTGTCTGCCGTATTTACTCAGCGTCTGGGGCTCAGGAGCGCAGGGCAGGCTTGGGAAGAAGTGGCTGGAGAAGGAGCCCGGGGCCAACTCCTGCCCTCCCCACAGGCCTTTGAGATCACGCTGCCTGCCGGGGCCGGGAAGGGCACCAACAAGCGTATCACCTACACCAACCCCTACCCCTCCCCGAGGGCCTACCGCCTGCACAGTGACCATCCCCGCCTGCTGCAGTTCAAGGAGGACGCCTTCCAGGTGCGGGGCTGCACAGGGTGGGGGGCCTGGGCGCTGCTTCTCCCGGGACCCTGCCTTGGGGGCGTCAGCAGTCCTGGGGGAGAACGGCCTGTGGCCCGAGTGAGGCGCTTGCGACCCGCAGGGGCACCCTCTGCTGAACTCTGCCCGGGCCTCTGACCCAACACCCAGGCCCCAGGCGGGGGCAGCCCTGGGGGCGACCTTCCGTGCAGTGTTGCAACAGTTTCATCCAGACTGCCTGGCAAGTTAGGCCTTTATCTCCTGTGACTCTTTCAGGGAAAGTGAGCAGCAGCTCCGGCGACCCGGGTCTGTCCCTCGCCGCCGGAGGGTGTAGTGACGCGTCTCCTGGGGCTTTGGGAGGAGTAGCCGGGAGGGCTTTGACAGTGACGCTGGGAAACTTGGTTCAGATCATGAGTGCATGTTCTGGGGCCTGCAAGCCTGGGGAATGTGTGTACGCCTGTGTGGAAGTGGCTGGAAGGGGGGCGGGGGTCGGCAGGGCGGGCGCTAGGACGGCGACGCTTCTTGCCAGGTCGGGGGAGGCGAGACCTACACCATCGGCCTGCGGTTTGCGTCCCGTCAGACGGCCGGGGAGGAGGAGATTCTGATTTACATCAATGACCACGAAGACAAAAACGAGGAGACGTTTTGCGTGAAGGTCATCTACCAGTAAAGGAGCGGCGGGGGCCGTCCTGCCGCTGTTCGGGGTCAGGCTCCTGTCCCAGAACTCGGCACCGTGGACTGGGCTGAGGGAGGTGGGGGTCGCCGTGCCCCTAGCCGTTTGCGATGCTCCCACCCAGTCAGGCTGCTGCCAGTACCGACCGCGTAGCAGCCCCGCTGGAGTCCTGACCGTGAACGTGCGCACCCGGTGTACCCGGGGCCCGTTTCTCTCTGCGGCACACGGGGGACTGTCGCCATCTGTGACGTTAGGATTTACTGTCAGCAAAATGTATTTTCTGAATCATTTTAAATGATAAAATTACGTTTTTAAACTGAGTTTTATACAAACACTATTATTTGCTATGTAATGTTTCTTATGCTGGTATTATTTCACATCTTTTAAAAACGTTGTACGAAATACTAAATTTTTACACGGTTTCTCTTTTGGCAGTTTTCTTGAGTGTTTTCTGCTGTTTTCACCATTGTCAGAGTTTTCTGTCTGCAGCATAAGCTTCCTTTTCCCTGGAGGATGACGTTGCTGAGGGACAGTCAGGTGGCCCATGGTTTGTGGCCTCTGGGAGAGGCTGCTCAGTCCTGACCTGAGGGGAGGGCAGCTCTGACCTCTGCTTCTGTTGTCACCTCTCCTGCATTGATTCTGGTCCCCTGCCTCCCTTTGTAAGGCCCCCGTGATGACATTGGACTTACCTGGAAGATCCAGGACGACCGTTCTGTCTCAAGACCCTTAACTCCATCCCCTTTACCACGTGAGGTCACCCAGTCACGGCATCCAGGGATCAGGTCAGGCCGGCGGGGAGGGGGCATTGTACCGCCCACCCCCATCCTGTTGGCCAGAACCTAGTCACTTGGCCACACCCAGGTCCGAGGGGTCTCAGAAATGTTGCCTTTCTTCCAGGCGGTCGTGTGTCCAGGTGACTTTGGGGGATGGTATCCCTAGCGGGGGGAGGGGGGAAGGTTTAGCGGGGCAGCTAGTCATCTTTGCCCCAGCGCTGCTGGTGGGGATGGTGAGAAGTGGCCGGACGGGGAGCGTCCCAGGGATGGAATCGGCAGGGTAGGTGATGGATTAGGGCTTAGAAACAGAAACTTTACCTTCAGTCTGTTGGAAAGATGGACAGAAAGGAAGCGCGCTGTCCCAGCCCCGGGGTGGTGAGGAGACAGCAGGGTGGTAGCCAGCTGTGCGCGTGTGCAGACGGGAGACCAGACTCCCATGGAAAGTGGCCCATGGTGGGGGGTCTCTCTCTGCACCGTGAACCCAGGGGGGCTCCCCGTGATTGAGAGCAGTATGAGCCCCGGGGAAATGAGCAGGCAGGCTCTTTGGAGAGACGGTCAGCAAGGCGGCCAGGGTCAGACGCACCGTAGGCAGGAGTGGGGCATCGGCTGCCCCCAGGGAGCCTGATTTAGATCCCAGCCCCGTCAGCGGGGTTACGGACGGCACCTGCACTGGAACTGAGGCCAACCGCCCCACCTCGGGAGGGGCCCCTGCAGCACCCAGCAGCACCCTGCAGCACCCTGCAGCCTCCTGCCCACAGGTCCTCCCTGCCGGGCGTGTGCCCCCAAAGAGCGGCGTGGAGTTGGATTCTGGGGAAGAGAACCGCCTCAGGCCTATCTATCTGCCAGTCTGCAACGTGAGGACCCACCACGGGGCCCGTCTGTCTGTTGTTCGATGCTCCCTGCTGTCTCTTCAAGGGCGGCTTCTGCGTTTTGCACGCCTGCCACGCACACGGCACAATCTCAGCTCATCCACGCCCCGGGCCAGTCCAGGCCCAGGCCCCGCCACCAGGGACCAGGCCCCGGCGGGGAGTGTGTTTTAGGAAGTAAGGCAGTTCTGGAGCCCAGTTGCTTGCTGTCCTGGGGGCACGCGGTGTGGGGTGGGGGGTGGGCAGGGGATGCTTCGCTTCGAAGCATTTCCAGATGCTTCCAAGAGCCGGGTAATCTAGGGGCCGCTGCTCTTCCTAGAGGCAGATCCGCTGGGGGCGCACTTCACCCACACACAGCGGTGGGACCTCAGCAGCTTCCTTACCCCACGTCTAGTCTGCAAGGCAGAGACTGCAGTGGGGGCCGTTCAGGCCTTTCTGTAGCTCAGGCCGCCGTCCCCAGCGAGCTGTGCCGAGGGGCCGGCAGCAGCCCTGCCCTGGCTGGAGGTGGGGTCGGGGGCGCCCCTCCCCACTGTGTCCGGGGGGCCCGCAGGCTGCAGGTGCAGGAGCTGGGGGTGGCGGGGCGCTCGAGGAAGCAGCGGCCGGCCTTGGCGAGAGAGAGGCCATCAGCCAGGGATGCCCGTTCTCTGGCCCTCACTCCCTCGTTAGTTCATTCTCTCATCCATCCGACCTTGGCTGTGGGCACTCCTCCGGGCTCTGTTTGTGCAGGAGGTGCGGACACTGTGGTGCCCTGAGACGCACACCTTCCCTGCCCCAGGTCAGGAGCTGACCTCCTGGGGGGCTCAGACGATAAAACGTGGGTACCACATAGACGGTCGGCCGGGCGGTGATAAAGTCTGTGAGGGGAAAGGCAGGAGCAGGGCGTGGAGCGGGCTGATGTCAGAAGGAGGGACTGAGCGGGTGGCGGGTGAGCAGGGAACGGGAAGGGGTGGAGGGGCCGGGGCAGGTCTCGGGCTTGTGGGCTGCAGGCTGATTCTCAGGTGACGCAGGGGTGACGGGGCTGGGCTGGACAGGTGCCTCGCCTCAGGACCAGCAGCGGGGGCCACATTAGTGACCCGCCTTCCCCAGGGGCCACCGCGTCGGTGCCATGGGGGCTGGTGAAGCTGGGCTCAGCTGGGTCGGGGGGCGTGGGGGGCTGTCCATGCTTTTTTAAGTCAGAAAAGCAGATTCTCTACACACGGAGGACCTTTCCCTTTGCCCTTTTTCCCGTCCCCTCCTCCAGACGCCCTCCGCCCGGGGACTGTGGCCTTCTGGTCGCTCTGGCACGCACACCCCTCTGTTCTCGGGCGCCGGTGAGGGTTTGAAGCCCCTCCCAGGAGTGAGAATCGGGCACAAGCTGGGGGCCTGTGCTTGTCCAAATTTATGCCGTTTTGAGCGTTTTTTCCTTCCCTTTCTTTTTCCTTTTTCTTTCTTTTCTCACAAAAGAGAGATTTAAGAAATTATATGTATTTATTATTTATTTATCTTGTCTGCGCGGGTCTCAGTTGTGGCATACGGGCTCTTCGTTGCAGCGTGTGGGATCTAGTTCCCCAGCCAGGGCTGGAACCTGGGCCCCCTGCACTGGGCCCCCAGGGAAGTCCTGAGAGATTTCTTTTGCGATAAATTTTCAGTGTTAAATAGAAGCCATGGCTGTGATCCGCCATCTTGGGGCTCTTCTGCTGGGGCCCAAAGCCCAGGTCAAGTTCACGTGCGCTCTGGGTTGCAAAACCCGGGCCTTCTTCCTTCCTTTATGAACCTGAAGTGTCCTGCCCCGACGCCCTAGACGTGGACTAGTATTTTCCTCTAACTTCTGACTTCCTGGTGGTCAGTTCCCTGGCCCAGCCGGCATGTGCAGAAGCTCCAGGTGATGTACACGAGAAAGCGGGGGCCCAGCCCCCTCCTCGGGTGGATCTGCCGTAAGGGCTGGGAGCCGCTGCTTCTCCTGCACAAAGACGCACCATCTTTCAAAGGGAACCTTATCATTTCCATCAAGGGCGTTTTTAGCATTAGTATTTTATTTCTTCCCTTCTGTCCCTCCTCTTCCCACCCCGGCCGAAAGCTGCTTTTAACTAAATGGAGTGAAATGAAAGCCAGATTAGCTGCTTTGCTTTGCTCATGTCTGATAATGATTTAATGCTATGTTTTTATCTACTTAGAAATAAATTAAGGTGCCTTTTAAAACTGTTGCCTCAGGTTCGAAGAGGTTGGGGAAAACAACCGTTCTGTTTCCTTAGCAACTTTTTTCCTCCCAGTGGAGAAGGTTGGGGTGTATGCAGTTGTAACCCCCAACAATCTGGACGTAGTGGTTTTAGTTTTATTTTCAGGGACGTGTGCTGAGACCTTTACAAAGAAAGAGCAGGAGAGGAGGGGAGCGAGGGAAACAGCCAGTGGCCTCGAGAAGTCGTGCAAGTGCGTCCCTGTCTGGCGTGTCTTGAGCACCGTGGGGGTCTCCCTGGTCCCATGTGGGACGCTGCCCTCGAGTCTGGGGGACAGACAATCCAGAGGCCCTTCCTGCTGGTGGAGGGGGCGGAGCTCCACATACAGTCAAAACCTTGTCATCAGGACACGTCTGCTGGCGTGCCACGTGGGCCCCCATGGCTCTCCTGATCCCACAGCAAAGCCAGGTCTGAGCTGGTTGTGGGGGGCTGTGCAGGGCCGAAGGAGCCTGCTCTCCGTGTCGGGGAAGGCCCGCCTTGGGGCGCCCAGCCATGTGTCATCGGTGTCACCACACTTCTCCTTGCCTCTCCAAGGCTGTTCAGGGGGCCCTGAAAGCCAAGTGCAAGTCAGAGAGTGATCTAGTGTCCCCACAATATCCATGTCCACCGAGAACCTCAGAACGTGGCCTTATTTGGGAACAAGGTCTTTGCAGATGTCCTTAAGGTAAGGGTCGAGATGCAGTCATATTGGGGCCATTCAGGTGTTCCCTAAATCCAGTGAGTGTCCTTGAGGAGACAGAAAAGGACACACAGAGAAGGTCACACAATGGTGGAGGCCAAGATTGGGGTGATGCGTCTGCTGGTCGAGGACCACCAAGGATTGCTGGGAGCCACCAGCACCTAGGACAGGGGCCTGGGACCCGCTCTCCCTCAGAGCCGCCCGAAGGACCTCTGGCCTCCAGAGCTGCGGGAGAATATACTTCTGTTGGATTAGGCCACCTGGTCACTTGTGACGGCAGCCCCAGGGGTCTTAAATATCCACGTAACCAGCGAATCAAGATTTCTGGTCCTTGGGAGGGAGGGCCAGGTATAAATCTAATGAGTGACCCGTAGACAGGGCGACCCTTTGCTGTGTGTGGCCGTCCCCCGGGCAGAGGTGGCTTCCCGCAGCAGCGGGGCCGCTCGGAGGAGTCGCGTCAGCCTCGAGTGTCTGTCATCTCGGTTGTCAGATCCCGAATTGATCTGTGAATCAAGGCTCTAAAGATACATTTCATCGCAAGAATTCAACCTTGAAATAATCACACATCAAAGTGATGAGTCTGTCTCCAAGAGGCAAAGTCACTAAGACGAGTGTTATAACGACACTTAAGGGAAAGGAACGGGCAGAACGGTCTCCTTGCCCCCAAAAGCTGAGTGTGCCCGAGGCTCAGGGGACGCCCAGGTCGGAGTGGGTGTGAGGCCGGTGGGAAGGGCCCCGGGCCGCAGGCGACTCTGTCCTTCTAGATCTCTCCCCCTGCAGCTCTTGGGCTTCTCGCGGCCTCCAGCCTTCAGTGGGTGAGGCAGAGGCGGGAATCCTGCAGGGGCCGCGGGCCCTGAACTCACCCTCTCTCGGCTCGTCCGCCCTCTCCCTCACCTTG